ATACATATTTCAATACTGAGATATCACAAATTCGAGAAGGCAATTCACCGGTAAGATTGTTGAATGAGAAATCAAACCCTTCAAGCTTACTACAATTCGCAATGGATCCCGGAATCGAACCCGAAAGTCCGTTATGAGAGAAAGAAACATACTTTGTTTTGTAGCAGTTCTTAAACAAAGCAATAGGAATTTCTCCGGTATAAGCATTCTTTGAAAAATCAAGAAATCTAATGTTAGGCAAGTCACCAATGAAATCTGGTATGGAACCAGATAATGCATTTGAGCTCACATTGATCTTCCATAATGTTTTCAGTAGTGAAAATTCTTGCGGGAGATTACCTGAAAATCTGTTGCCGAACAATGTCAAGACTCTGATGGAGCTTAAACCCGACAAGGCAGCCGGCAGTTGACCGCTTAGGCTCGTGTTCCACAGGACAATCTTGTCCACAAATCCTTGTGGATTGCAAAACACACCACTGAAATCCACACAAGGGTTACCATTTGGGACCCACGATTTCAAGCTGTTGTACGGATCATCGGTGATGTTTCCTCTGAATTGGAGCAAGATTTCCTTCTCAGTGGCGGCCGAAGAAACGGTGAAGAGGGTACTGATTCCGAAAGAAGCAAGAATCAGGAAGAGCAAAGCACGAGAAACTATAAACCCACGGATCCTTTTCATGCTCGAAAACAGCACCAACAACACAGAAAGATTGTGTCTAACCGTTGGACATTATCGAATCAGATTCAATTGCAGAGCTTGTTGTTTGCACTTGTAAAAACCCACATTTTACTTGCATTTGTTCAACAAAAAACAACAGAGCAACCCATTTTAACCCACACTCTCTTCAATGAATCAAAGATCTCACCTTTCTCTTTCTGGATTTGAGCTAAAAATCTCAACTTTTTTTTGCTCTTCCAGGTCTAGACTCTAGACAGGGTAAAGAAAGTGACAAATAATGAATAATGGGAGAAAAAATGTAATAAAAATGGCGATGACCAACAAGTGAGAACAAATGTAAGGGAAGCTGGCTTGGCTGGAAAGGAGAACAGGTGAGCAAATTTAATAGTACTAACCATATATGAAAAACATTTATATCTATAGGGTTGCCACCAACAGAAGCTTAACCACGTGCATGTCCGTTTCTTTCCGCCTTCAATCTCAGTTCTTTTCAATTCCATTACAAAAATAAAACCCTCTCATTTTTTGTTTTTGGGTTTTAACTCTGTAGAAAAGTAAACAACTTGAAATCCCCAAATTGGTCTTGCTTCACTTACCACCATGTAAAGGTAGGGTCATGGTTTTTGTCCCTGAAATTACAAGCATTTATTCTCTCACCAACCGGACCATTTCATCACCACCTAATAATTGTCAGAGAAATGGAATATGTTTAGAAGAAAAACTAAGGTGTAATGACAAAATCAGCCCTCAATATTTGTATAAATGATCACTTTAACTTTATTTTCTTTTTGTTCGAACATTTTAGATCAAATGTTTCATTTTTATCAAAATAATATATGTTGCATAAAAATTATTAATTAAATTATAGTAAACACATATTATTGATATAATATTTTTAAATATATTTAATTAGTGATGTATCAAATATTATATCATCAATTGAGTGATTTGATATATATCACGTCAATACTTTAATAATGTGATCAATAATCAAACACATATTAAAATGTCAAGTCAATAACATATGTTAATCATTAATCAATTAATAATTTTTACTTTAGTATTTTGGTGATGTGACAAATAATTAAATAATGTAAAAATATCACGTTAATAATATGCATTGATCATTAATCAATTAACGATTTCTATCTAATAAAAATTATTTTAACCAAAAATAGAGCTTTTGGAGCTAAAATATTAAAAGAAATAAATATTAAAATAATTATTTATACAAACATTAGGGGTTACTTTTGTCAATATACAAAAACGAACCATTCACGTAGAAACCCAAGGAATTTTTAGTTCTTGGCTTTTTTGGGTTTATTTTTGGTCTTTTGTTGACTCATGAGTTGTGCCTTTCTTTCCTTTTTACAGCATTAAAGACTCAAGTTCCCTTGTATCCGTTCTCAATGCGACTCATTTGTCGTTAAATTTTGTTAGAGAAGGTGTGAAATTTATTTCCATTTCCTTTTATTTGTTCCTGTATAAGCAGAAATTTTAGAAGGAAAAATAAAAAAAAAGGCTTCAGCATCTACCCTTCTCAGAAAGTCCAGATTCCTGGTAAAAATAACCGAGTTTTAATTTACTTTATTTAACTCGAGACTCTTGTCTTGTTGCATTTGACCTGGTACAAGGTTTTTGGTAGAAGAATGAATCAAAGTTGAGGAGACAAGTACAGAAAGAAAGACTAAAAAGTAAATTTTAAATAAAATAGTGAAGATTAGGTTAACGTATATGAAGAACTTAGTAGCATGGCCTTGGACCTTGTTTTAGTGCCTTTGGCTTTGGAGGGATACATCTTTTTCATGGCCATGTGAGCATATCAACGTCATTCAATACTTTAACATCATAAGTGGCATAGACAGTGCTTCGGATGAAACACTCTTCAATGGAATGCCAGACCACCATCTGCACCATCTCTTCTTTCTCCCTCAATGCCTTTGCATATTTTCATCTCTTCTTCTTACTTATATCTTTGGCTTTTTAAACTTGTACTCTCATGATTTTTTTTCTTCATATTAACGTTCCTTTGTAACAACGTTAAATAGGTGACGATATTATAACATGATATTATCATCTCAAGATTAAAAACAAATTAATAGTTAATTCACTACGAGTACTTAAACTATGATCCTTATTGCACGAAATAATTTACCTCAGTGATTAAAGGAATAGTTGTTATTGTTCTTAGATATCACAAGTTCGAGCACCAGGCAGTTGCAACATGGTGGTTGAGTATTCATTATCAAATTATTGATAATATGCCCACTAACGTTAGGAGGATAATTTTGACATTATGCCTATTCTAAATCAGTCTTCAAACTTTTGAACATTATAATTTCATCTCCAAACTATTACTCACATTCTAAATTGGTCTCAAAATTTTAAACATTTCAAATCCATCTCCAAACTATGACCCTTATTCTATATTGGCCCCCAAACTTTTGAATATTTCAATTTCATCCCCAAACTTCTAAATGATTTTAGGAGATGTTATTTGAAAGTAATGGCTGTTCTTTGCTAAGATGCTCCAATTTAATCATGTTCTTCTATTTAGTTATGAACATCGACAAATATCAACTATTTTGGGCAAAAAGTTATAGTAGCTCTTCTGTATGTCTTGTTTCAGATGGTTGAACAAAAAGAGGATAGTGTATATTTTGAAGCAATCAAATTCCATTCTTTCTATGAATATGTTGTCCATACTACTTATTTAATGTAATGTTGTTCTTCCTTGAGGACCTGAGTTCAATCATTGGTGTACGATTTCAAATAGGCTCAGAAAAATTCTGAACATATAAATCACCCAGATTATTAAAAAAAACATAACAGCTTTTCTAGTATTAATTGATATTTGACGTAGGTCTATGTTTTTTCTTTTTGATCGATGCTACCAAAGATTAGTTCTTTCTATCTTGTCTAAAAATACTGTAGAGTTTATCCTGACAAATGTGAATCTATGAATCAGGTGCTGGGATTATGCTGGTATCATGTGTCTCTCGAATTATGCTATACATTCTTGACAGATCTGCCACTTAAGCATTGTTATGACATCGTTATCTACAACTACTGTTGTTTTTGTTACACCGATGTTGTCTCTCCTGCTTATTGGGAAAAGACTGCCCGTCGATGTCATGGGAATGGTTTCTAGCATTCTGCAGATTGTTATTGCTACCATTACAACAGGATTGCTTCTGAATTGGTGATATGCTAACCCCAAAATGTGGTTGAACTTGATAATATCTTTTAAGTTATCTAATGTGCTTGTAGGCTGTTTCCCGTCTTTGTAACGCCAGGAGGCCATTTTTGCCTCTGCTTTCTGAACTTGATACGGCTTGTTCTGTTGGAGCACTGGTCGCTGTTAACATTAACTCGGTTTTGTCCCCTTTTGGTTTAACTCATCTGTTGCTCATTGTTGCATTCCATTTTCAGCATTCATTGCCGGTTATTTCTTCAATGGTCCGATGTGAAAGCCTTGCAAAGAAGTCTATCCTTTGAGACACAGGTGAGAACCCTTTTTCTTCTTTTCCATCTTGTTCGTTTGCACTATTGCTGATATATTTAGTATTGCAGGAATGCAAAACAGTCTTTTGGTACTTGCCCTTGCTAACCGGTTCTTTCGGGATCCACTTGTGAGCGTGCCTGCCTCCAGCTATCTCCGTAAGCATTTTTGTTGCCTTTTCCCCCAAGGAATCATATACAACATTTGCTTTTGCTAATATGGTCCTTTTACTTCACTACAATCCATATCCCATCTTCTCAAAAGTTCTTTCTCATGTCTATTTCGAGGGTTTGAAATGGTTAGCTCCGGTTAAAACGGATCGTTCATAACTTGATCCTTAACCGTCTCGATTTTGGGATCTGCAAACTGTAATCATGTCTTTGATGGGCAAAGAAAACTGAATAACGGGAGAATGATGAGTTCATATGCCAATCCTTTGTTATTTGATTCATAAACTTTTGCTGCAATGCGAAGTTGAAAAAAAATGGATCAGCTTCCTGAAAATAGAATGAAATCCTTGTGTACGGTTTCATTCCTGACAAGTGGATAATTAGAATCTTTTTCCTCATTTCCTCATTTCCTTGTTAGCATTTATTAAATTTGAATATGTAATCTGCAAGGAGCTAAGCTAATTACATTAGTGGAAGCAAGGAACGAAATGAAAAATCGCCTCTGAAAATTTTATGTGAAATTTGGTACGACCAAAAGTGTTGATGCTGTCATAAGTTTTAAACCACACCCTCGTCTGAACCTTATCTTCTTCAGAACTACCCCAACTATTTAATTAACTTTACTGAAACTAATGTATGCAAAGTAAATCCGCCCAACTAAAGAAATCACAGCCAAAATCTCCAACAATGGCAAACGTGACCGTACTCTGCACTCCTAAACCCATATTCAAACAGATTCATACTATTCCAACTCTTCGTCACCCCGAAATTCCTCAGAAAACCAGGCCACGGACCCGAAAGCTGTCAACAGAGGGCTTAATTTTGAACCCGAAACCAACGATTGGCATTGTCGGGTCAGCTCTGGCCTTGGCTCTTGCGGCTTCGGCTTCGGCCTCCGAGTTGCCGCCGTTGTTGCTGGGCACTTCTTTGCAGCTCAGTGAACCCGCCAATGCCTTGTCTCTGCCCACTTGGGCCATACACGTCTCCAGTGTTGTTGAATGGTGAGGATATTTTCTTCTCTTAACTTCGGATATTTGGTTTCTTCTTCATGTGCTCTGTTTTCATGGGTACTTTGTCAATCTTGGGTCCTTTTTTTCTTAATGGGATTATCTAAGCTTAGAAAGAAAGGGATAGTCTGTGGAACAAATTAAGATTTGAAACATCATTGTTAGAGAGGCATCATAATAACTCCTTGTAAGGCTCTCACTTGATGAAACACTATTGACTATTCTGATTCCCTTTGTATCCTCTGAATTGAAATCATTGATGAGGATGCTAATGAGATTGTCTTGACAAAAGGATAACAGCAATGGCTTTGGTGTGGGAATATGGAGAGAAATCTGGGTTTGAATCATGGAAGGGTCTCTCTTGGGGTATGGTGAGTTTTTCCTCTTAATCTTGTTAGTCCGGATACTTTCTTATAGTCTACCATTGTCTAGATAAAGATAAGTTTTTTAATTGACGCATTAATCGTCTTGGAACCAGTTTTTTTGTGCTCTCATATCCATTGGTAGTTAAGTTTCTGCAATGACATTATTCTATAGCATTTTTGTTCTTTGCTCTTGTTGGGAAATCCTTCCAACAGATTCATTTATCAATTACGGGGGATGGAGTCATATCTATTTATACAACTCAGTGTGATAGGTTTGAATGATATGTCATATCAAGCATCTATAGGCTAAGTTTCTACTTTTGTCTGATTTAATTATTTGTTTTAGGTACCTTTACTTGGTGGAGCATTTTGTGCATGTACATGGCATTTCTTTTACAATTCCGAATCTCTTGAGGTGAGAACCGACAAGTTACTCTGCTTTCTTATCCTTCTTTATGGAAAAATGCAAAGACTAGTTTGAATTAATTGAGATACAGTGATGAATTGATAAAGAAACACTACAATGAAAGATTTGGCTTATATTGTCGGTTTTGTAGTTTTTGCTCCTGTATGTCCTCAATGCTTATCATGATGAACAAACAAACTTCATAAAATTTTATATTCAAAATTGTGAACCAGAGATTTAATGCATAATACTAGTGTTACTGAAACGTTGAATATAATGTTTGATAAACAAAATGACTGAACACAGAGCCTGAACTTTGGGGTTAATGAATTGGATTTTTCTAGCAAGAAATATGCTTAATAATTTCAATATGCATATTCTTATCATTACCATAAATTAGTATTAGAATCCATAAAAGTCACATTATTCATGTTATGGATGTGCTTTTGTTATGCATTCTTATATGTGTTGCCAAAAAGTATTTGCATAAGATGATCATACTCCTGCTCAATAACAATTAGACTGCTTTGCTGATGAGTGATGACTAATATTTCTAGCTTATGAGCTTGTGCGTTTGATTTGAATAGGATGAGTCTGGAAACAAAACGTCTTAAACCACTCTATTCTGCCAATAAATTGCAGGTATTGGTTGCTCTCCAGGCTGCGTTGACAGTAATAGGTAACGCCACTATGTGTTTAGCTGCATTTCGTATCTGCAAATCGTCAGATAAAAGTTCCCAGAAACAATGAAGTTTCCACTCCTATAATCCACTGAATGTGCCCAAAGGAATATTCAACATTGCACTGCTGTGTGTTATCCTTCTATTGGAAAGCTCAATTAGGCCAAGTTCCACTTGATAGCTACAACAATAGACCTTTCGCAGAAAAGAGATAGAAAGATGGAAGTTTCCCCATTGGTGACAAAATCAGATTTCACAAGGGAAAAAGTAAACATTACACTATCTAAATGTTAGGCATTTTCCTCTCATGCTTCTCTGGGAATGGCTATAAACAGCCTGAGAATAAAATGTTATCACTGTATCTATTATGAAAAACCTCTCCCTTGTTGCACCTGGTCAGTTTGTTAACCAATTGGTTTGACTTGAACCTCTCTTCTGGGATTTAAATTATAGTTTCTTGAAAAATCTTTTACTCCATTAACATGTGACAGTTATTGTCAATATATATTTCTTGTTCTCTGAGCTACTTATCTTTTATGATTTTCTTGTTGAACAATAATCATAGATTTGCTTGAAGAGTTTTAAAGGGCAATCATAGTTGAGTAATAAAAGCAAGAGATATTAATGTGATAATTTTTTTCAATGATAACATACCATTGTACATTTCAGCATCACCGTTAATTTGATAATGACAGATGACTAAAATTGAAACCAAAATTTAACGTTAGGGATGATTATGAAAAATAAAAAATTAGGACAACAAAGTGAGACAAAGATGCAGATTACAGCCTAATAAAGAAAACATTGAAATTTCATCATTTATCTTTAATCAGGAGTTGAACAAAACATCAAGCTACAAAATCCCATGTTGCTAACATACATCCATTATCAAAGAAAGGCAAGGGTGAAATGTTTAGGGAGACTAAAAGGGATTCATCCAGGATGAAAATAATCAAGTATTTCTTAAGCTTCACCATGAATGCTTTTGTTGCAGAAGAAGCAAAAGGGTAGTCGGAAAACGATCCAAATGAAGGAACTTCTTCTGGTACTCAGACATTAAAGCTAAGTTTTCTTGATGAAGAAGATTGACTTTCTTCCTCAACTTCTCATTCTCTTCAATAATGCTTTGGTTCTCCAAGTACAGCTTCAAGTTCATTAGTTCCACGTTTTTCTCCACATTTTCTTCCGACTTTCTCCTACATATGTTTAGCGTTAATTAGAACCATCAAAGCATATATTCATGCATATACAAAAAAACACACATGAAAAGTAGTAGATGAAAAAAATAAAACATACATATGCGTGTCTACCTGGAAAGCCTGTAAATTTGAACCTTGGATTGTTTTGATCTATGCCTTCTCTTAGAAGAAGCAAAGGTGGGATGAGGAGGGCATGGGCTCCAAACCATGTTACACATCTTGTTATGATTTATTTAATTTCTACTAAACTTTAATAAAATGATCATCAAATGAATGAAAAAGTAGTTAAATATATCGAAAGTGAATGGGGAAATTGAGAGAAAGAAGAGGGGTGTAAGCTCCTATAGATAATGTTTGGTGTACTGAATAATTTGCAACATGTTATAGGCAGCTGGCTGTGGCTATGTAATAATTATGAGATAAAAGGAAAGTAAAAAGAACAAGATATTAGATTTCTTTTCAGTTGTAATGATGGCTGGTGAACTCATGATTGCTAAGGTAAGCAAACCCCAAAATGTTTGATGACAATAAAGAAACGAAGGTACATGGAAGGTTCTATGCATTCCCTTTTCCATTTAACGCTTAACAAATGTAGAATTTTACGTTAATAAACGAATTTTTAGAATTTTACGTTAATAGACCAAATTTTAAAATTTTAAAAAGAAATAACAATAAATTATCAAAAGAATATAAAAAATATTTAAAATATATGAAAATTTAATTTTTTTTCAGAGGAGACTCATAACTCCGACCTATCCCTTCTTTCAACTCCATGAATAACTAGTCTTAATTATGTGGACAACAAAATTAAACTCCAGTCAAATGGCTTATATCCTAATGGACAAATCCCCATGGCAAACTCAAATGGCTCCATGAACATGACCCTCATGAAGAGAAAATATTTCATATCGGCTCGTGCGTATCAGCAAACCCTTTTCTCACACTAATTATCAGTATTCAACAGATTTGGTAATTTTCTTTGTCCAACTTATCAGTATACCTACCATTTTGGCAAAACTTAGACCAAAAGCCTTGACCTTCCTTGTAAATTATGAACCAAGCAAGAAGGTTAATATATTGTAAAGTTTTTACATTCTTATGATCTCCCAGGGCAGAATATTATATAAGCCAAGTGATTTATAGAGTTGAGTATTATATTTAATTATAATAGACGTTTTTGTTTAAAAAAAAACCCAAAAATTCATTTATTGGACAAATAACCTCCAAACGACATTAATTGGAAAAATACCCTTCAAACTGCACAGGTAGAACTACAGTGCATCCTACAGAACGCATGTAAAGTATATAATAAAATAACAAAAAACTCTATTGTAATAAATAGACAAAACTTATTAAAATTAAAATTCATTCTAATGTAACATGTAACAAAACAAAATTGCTCCATGGTTCTAAAAACAATAATCATAATAAGTACATAGGTTGTTACTTGGTTGCCAAACTTGATCGATTGAATTACATGGACAATTGTTATCACAATTACAGTATTCGATTAGTTCTGGAAAGGCAATGTTGTGACGACTCCATGACATTAAGCATGCAAACACATTGATCTTTGAACGAATAACATCTAAATTTATTTTTTTTAAATTGGTGAGATCAAGAGTTTTCACGATTTGAAGTCCTTCGTCTCTTAATTCACCCCAGAATAAATTAGAATAATTACATAAACATATATGACCTTGATATTATCTTTATCGACTGCTATCTTCAAACAATGCAGACCAAACTTTAAATTTCTTCCCTAAAATAATCATGCATGCCTCCTCTATATAACGCTTCGTGATTATTACTGGCTTTGCATATTTCTTGAAAACTTTTCTCGGTTTTAGTCCAATAAATGACGTTGATGTTCTTAATCGAAACGCTTTCAAAGATGTAATTGTGCTTCGATACTTCATTAAAAGTCTTGTAACTCAATCGTGTATTGAGAAAATCGACGATAGAATTAGACACCACATGCACAAGAATTTTGGATAACACTTCTCTTGGGAATAACTCCACAATATCACTACATATTTTACCATTTTTTTAAATATGTTGAGAAAACATTATAAATGTACCCCTATTTATAAAAGTCATCGCATCATTTTTGAAGCGAGGAATCAATGGACTTCGCGTTATACAGGACGCGAGGTCTCTTGAAAAGACATGACTTTCAATTCGAATAAAATTCAACTTGTCAGAACGAACCTCACGGTTTGTAAAATGCGAGGTCCTAGCATTTCCAAACCATCGATCATTTGTTCATATGCATGTTCGAGGTATTTTCCCAAGTCCTAAATTGGATTTTTTTTTTATAATTTATAAGATTAGTGGCGCAGTACTTGAGCTTATCTTTCAGTTGAGTGTAATATCAACACATACGAGACATTACAAGTAGGATAAAAATCGCATTCAAAATGATTCCAAAGCTTGGAGGCGTAGTATTGCAACTTATCTTTCAATTTTTGAGCTTAAAGGTATATTATTACAACTTATCTTTCAATTGAAACTGATATCGACACATACGAGAAATTGTAAGTGGGGTACAATTCGCGTTCAAAATGGTTCCAAATCAAAAGAAGTAGAAAACTAGTGAACATATTTTGTAAATAACTTGCAGTGGCGTAAACAACTCAAAAAATGCACTTATCGGTGCATATCTTAGCATGATACTACTATTGAGGAGAAGTAGATGTTGACACTAGAAGAGAATGGTTTTTATAATAAACAAATACAAAGGAAAAAGCTCAATAGGTACGCTAGAGTTTCTCAAAGGGTGGTCACTTGATCTTAATTGATGGAATGGGAAGTTTCTCACAAATGCCAAATGAAAATCTAGATACCACAAAAAGAGGATGCCTTTTATAACTTGCAACAATGTCGCGTAAACAACTCCAAATAATATATGAAGCTGTCGAGGCACATATGGGGCCTATATTAGCACAAAGAAAAAAATAATGTCACCAGAAGAGGATGCTTTGTATAAACTAAAAGTTTCCTCAGAAGGGATAAATCATTTATGAAGTAATAAGAAGGTTTCAAATAAGATTAGGTTTGATGGAACAAAAAGAATTTAAATAGGCAAGAAAATCACATCGTGCAAATTCTTCTTGATGTGACGTTGAAGGGAACTCACGCCTTGCATAACGCGAGGTCCTTGCCATTTCACATCCAATTGCCACGTCATAAATCTCTACAAAAGTCATGTTCTGCAGAACATGAGGTCATTGCCTTGCCATGTCATATTAAGAATCTCTGTAGACCCATGTCCTTGTCACGTCATGATTTCAAGAATCCATATAGATCTTTTCTATAGAAAAAAACACGACTTCCATTAGAATCCTTATTTCAAGTAAGTGAAGGAAAACAAACAAACCATACAAAAGTGAAGACAAGGATAATGGAATCTATCAGCATCTGTTTTAATTGTTAGTTTATGTGACGCTTCTCGATTATTACATAGTTTGAAGTCATTACAATTTCGCTAACGTTTGTTCTTTTATTTGCATGATCGTAGATATTTTCAAAATTTGTTGAGAAGAGGAAGTATTACTGATTTGGTATACTACGATGGCAAAATGATTCATGATGCATCTCTCGGTGTTGTCTTTCATTCCACACATACTGTGACGATAACGTTGTTGAGTAAATTAACGTATAAGAAGTTGATGAAGGAAGTCAAGAAAAATGTTCCATATGGTCGAGAGAAAAAACTTGAACCGTTGAAGTATCGACTACCGATGCGTTGGAACCATTAAACTACTCAATATATAATGTTGAGGACGATGATGATGTGTACATGATGCTTGATTCTAACTTGCAATATTCATTAGGAGGGCCCCTTGAGCTACATGCAAAATTTTCTAATGATGATGATGTTACCAGTGTCCCAAATTGAAAACGGTCAGATTTTGACTTCAATCCTAATGTTCAAAGTTCGATAGTTAATTTACGAAATGATTTCAGCTTATTAAGTACACAAAGTATACGCAATGACTTTGGTGCCTGACAAGCGTGGTATATTATCAAATAAATAAGCAAATAATATAGTATAGAGAAGAAAAGATATATCCGTAGGACTAAAGAGCTTCTGATGTTGAATGGTTATGATTCTGGTTTAGGCAAAAAAGCAAATGAAATGATGGGGTTTTAATTGAAAGAGTGAAGTAAAAATAAATGTGAAAATAAA